AGCCATGTTAGGGGGTCAGAGCTTGAGCTGGGGATTCAGAAGCCTGGGCATGGGGCTTTCTGGCTGCTGTCATCAAGCCGGGTGCACCTGGACCCCTGATGTTGGCAAGCTGGGGTCAGGGCTCAACCAGGAGCCAACCAGAGCTGTGCACAGTGCCTGATTCCCTTCCCTTATCTGGAAACTTATTCTTCTGACCTTCCAAACAGGCTTGTTTGCCAAGCTGGACATGCTCAGCTGTCCTCGAGGCCTTGAACTCATTACAGCAGGGGCTGCCTGGCCCATGTCCCTTTGGCTGGGGGTGGGGTGATGGTCCCATCAGCACCAGCTGAGGGGGGACTTCCCCCCACTCCAGGTCTGGCTGGCAAAAGATCAATGATGAGAACAAGGTGTCTCTGCAGCCCCTGCTATACACAGACCTCTGGGGTGCAGGGGGGAAGGGATGTGATAGAAAATGGGAGTAGGCAACATGTGGGGGAAAGTACCTTTCCCTGCTTCGGCCACCTGCTAGCTGGCAGTGGGAGTGCAGGGAGAGTGGGGCACAGAGCTGGGGAGAGACGCATTCTGCAGAACTGAGCCCCAAGTTGTACTCAGAATCCAGCCTTCAGAAAGCACCCTGCTCAACTCAGGGGAGCGGGGGACAATCAGCGTGCAGAGGAGAATGTGCATTTGGCCAGACCCCTGCTGTCTGTCTGCGCAGGGACACAGCGAGGTCCAAGCCCCTGCCTTGCGGGGTGCTGGGTTCCAGACATTCCTGGCTCTGTCAGAATGTGCTGGACAGGCCCTGATCCCTTTGTTGCTCCCAAAATGGGTCACTTATGTTGTGTACTTCAAGGTCTGTGTCTCCACACCCAGGCCTCCTGGTCCTCCTCAGACACTCTCTGAAGGAAGGCAGGATGGCGGCTCTGGGGGCCCCGGCGGGAGTGTTAATTCTCCTTCTGACAGTAGCTGCGCCCCTGGTCCGGGACCAGACCACAACAGGAAGCGTTCCAGAATCAACAGACGGCAGGTCTGAACATGATGTGCTGTGGAGGCTGCCCCATCCCAGGGCCGTGCCTCAGACAAAGGGCCGACTGTTTGCCACCCCCACGGGCCTGCCCCCCACCTGCTCAGAGCGGGGTGGAGGCGCCCACTGTGTGTGGGCAGGGGTAGGAGGAGGGACAGCGCCTGCTGGAAGAGGACAAGAGGAGGAAGGAAGATGGGGGTTCATCCACAGGCAGCAGTGGTTTCCTCACTGACCAGGAGCCAGAAAGGGTCTGAGACTGCGCTGCTGCTTGGGCCTTGCTGGAACCACCAGTGACCACCTGACCTGGAACCCGGCTGGCCCGCTCCTGACGCAGAGTCGCCTCTCAGCCAGGGCTGGAGGCTCCATGCTTGTGAGAGGAGCAAGTCAGGGTGGTCCTGACCTGTCCAGCTCACACCTCCTGACCTTCGTCCAGGGCAGCAGGCGAGGCCCTTCCAGCGGCCTCACCCAGCCCGTGGCTCCGGAAACTTGGGGTTCTCAATGCCTCTCTTCTCCCTGTTCTGTTTCTCCAGCCTCTCTGGCAGCCTGAGAGTGGTTAGAGGACCTGCTGACCACCCGGATGGGGCCAGGCCCTGGACAGTCAGTGTCTCCTGCTGGCAGTCCCATACATGGGGCTCTGATGTGCCCCTTCATCTGTGGACTGACAATGTTTGCCATCTAGTCTGCTACTTTTAGACCTCCAGAGAGCAGAAAATTCATGCTGCTTCCCAGGACAGGTGAGAAGAAATTTGGGGTGCTCCCCACCCCATTGCCCGCACTGTAGAGCAGCAGGTTGAGTAGGTTCAAAGCTGCCCTAGGAGCCATCTAGGCTCAGTTGCTAGAAGCTGTCCCTGGAAGGTCAGAAGAACAGATTAGGACCTTTGGTCTGTGATGTCAGCTGCCCAAGAGCGTGGGCTGCGGTGACAAGTTCTAGCCTAAAGTTTAGTTTCAGATGAGCTCGGAATGGTGGGCCGTGGACACGGTCACACATTTCCCTCCTCTAAGTGCTTCAGTCCTCGCCTAACACGCCAAGAGGCTCCTACACAATTCTAGGTGCTGACCCAAAGGCCCCGGAAAGCATTCCTGATAGTGCAGGATGGAAAGAAAGCCCACAGGGAAGCATGTGTTCTGAACTTCCTTTTTACTCCTGTCACTTTGGGGGTGCAGAGGACTTTCTGCAGCTAAGGGAGACTTCAGTGTCGGGAGCCGCCACTCAGCCAGGCTACGCACAGTTCCTGGGGTGGCCACAAATCATTTCCAGCCACTCTGTGCCCGAATGTGCATGAGCTCTACAAACAAAGGGTGTGACCCTGGGTGAGCATCACACTGAAAAGATGTGTGAGTGCCACGGCTAGAATTGGCGGCGGTGGTGTGTGTGTGTGTGTGTGTGTGTGTGTGTGTGTGTGTGTGTGCGCACGCGCGGCTGCAAAGCACATGAGAGCTCCACAACTAAGTCAGTGTGTCCATACATTGTGGGGGAGGGAGGTTGGGAGGGGGAAGGAGTCCAGAACACTGGTCAAGGAAAGGCAGGGGGAAGAAAATAAAAAGCGAGGAAGGAATTGTCGAATTGTTACCCATGCACTCTCAACCCTCCTGGGGGTAGAAGCCTGGTTGCTCTCCTCTCCTAACTCCCTACTCCCTACCAGCTGCAGGGACCACTTCCTGTTCATCCCAAGGCCACAGGAGTTTGGTGCCTAATCCACAGTCTTGTGCAACTCTGCCTGACTCAAGTTTGGTGGTGAGCCTGTATGGAAATTTCCCCTCAGAGGGCCCAGCTGACAGCTCCAGGCCCTTGGAAGCTCAGGGAGGAGGAATGTGTTTGTTCTGAGCAGATAAACCTTCCTACTCAGACTTTTTCCCCCCCTCTCCTTCCAGGAACGCTGAGAACAGATTGCAGAGCACCCTCATAGCTCCTTTTGAAAGGGCAAGTCAGGGAGTGGAGAGGAGGGGGTGCGGGAGATGGGGTCCTGTGGGATTATGACCTGCAGTGACTTTTTTTCTTGGAAGCACCAAAGGAAAAAGCAAAAATCATTCCACATAAGAGGAGTCTTCCCAGGACTCTTGATATGGAAGTATCACCCGAGCAGACCACATGGGGCAGTAATCAATGCCAACAGGACTTTGGGGGTGTCTGGATAACTCAGAAACCAGACATGGGCGGTTATATATATGCAATGCTGGACCCCACAGCTTGGTCCACTGACTGAACATTCTGCAACCAGGAGCTCTACAGCTAGGATATTTTAAGGAGGCCACAGGTGAAAAGTCTCATAAATAGGGGTCTCAGTACAAGACTAGGGTGTCAACCAGTAGAACTGGGGGGGGGGGTGCACAGGAAGGAATAAAGGTCAGAAGGGCACTGTTGGAAAAAGGATAAGAAACACACAAGTGTTTCTTTTGTGCCCAGTGATTTTTTTTCACTTGCAAGAACCTGTTTGTCATTCCCACCAGCTCTTAACTATCATTTACCAGAACATTCCAAAACTCTCCTGTTGAACATGAGCATAGAACCCCAGCACCAGGCTGAGTGAGTGGTCCAGCAGGCAGAGAGGAGATGCTCTGAAAGCCACAAGGACCCCCGCTGGGCAGGCCCCATGGCACCAGTGTCTGTTTTCCATGCTCCCTTCTCTGTTAGGACCGTGGCTGCTAGACCATTATCCGTGAACAGAGGGGAGAAGGCATGAGATTAATGGGCCTCCCCCGACTTCTCTTCTGCCTGAACTTACTCCAGCCTGGGGCAGAAGAGTCTGCTCTGGTCTGCTTCCCACCCTAGCATCTAACTACTGGGCTCTCTGTGGCCATCGGAGCCTTTCTTCCATCTTTGTGAGAGTCCTGCCTTAGGGAGCCTCTTAAGCAATGGTCAGGGGATCTCAATGACTCTGGATCAACTTGATCCATCTGTTTAATGCTTCATCTAGTGACGTTTCAATCCAGCAGGGCTGGAGGTCACCAGAGTCACACCTGATGGTTCTAAGAGGGTCAAACTCAAGGTCTTGCACTTGCCTGTGTCCCTGACCAGAGCTGCCACTGGGTCCCGGAATAGGTCATTTTATATAGTTGTCACAGTCAGGCCAGCTCTTTATCAAGAGAGTGTGAGCTCCCTCAAGAGAAGGTGCTGTCAGGGGAGCGAACAGGAAGCAGTGGGTTGTGGCTCAGGGCAAGGTCAGTTCACAGGGTGCTGACCCCCTCCTAGAGATTGGGGGGTGGTGTTCAGTGTGGCCATCTGGAGGCATCTGTACCCCTCCTGGGTCATACTGTACAGATAGGGAAGTTCTCAGTCACGTCTAAGTTTTCTGCTTACACCCTCCTGTAGCTCCTGAAAAGGATGGGGACAGATCAGGGATGCAGGAGAAGGTTCTAGATCTTAGGAACATGGATATGACCATTTGAAGTGAACCAGACAACAGCTTCATAAAAACAAACAAAAAAAGATCCCCAGTGTTTATACATGGGGTGATGCGATTAAGAAGGCAAGCGAGGTTTCAGGGAAAAGTTCGAGAAAGATAAAAATAGTCTTGGCGTCAGAATGGAAATCCAAGCCCCATCTGGGCTACTTCCAGACTATTTATCCCCGGGCTAGTCCTGCAGGGTGTGTTCATGTCACCCTGGCCTGGAAGGAACTAGACATACGGCACATGGCCCCCACAGCTACCTGGCAGGCTTGGCCTGGGGTCTCCCTGAAAGCTGGCACACCTGGGGTCTTTCTGACAGCTGACATACTGGGGTCCCCTGATGGCTGACACACCTGGGGTCTCCTCCCAATGGCCGACATATTGGGGTCTCTGTGATAGACAACACACTGGGGTTTCCCCAATGGCCGACACACTTGGCGTGCCCTGATGGCTGACACACCTGGGATCTCCCTGATGGCCGACATACCTGTGGTCACCCTGAAGGCCAACGCATCATGTTCCCTAGACCACCCTGACTCTCCACTTCCAGCACCCAATCTACCCCATGTAGCCCGGGACTCCCCGCCTAGGGGCAGGGCCTGACTCACCATTATCTCTTCTGGGTTCCCATGGGCCACCTCCACCACCTTCAGTGCTGAAGCTGCCTTCACCTTGGCGCGGGTCATTAACTGGATGACAGATGAGCTGTCCTGGGAGAAACAAACACAGGGACACTTCAGTGGCAGCAGGCTAGCCACGGACCCCAGCAGAGTGGAGACTCCGGGGGAGTTCAGGCAAGGATGACCATTGCACTAGATCCCACCGCCACATCCCCCAGGCAGCCACTGAAGCGGGGTTGACTCCCTGTCCCTCCCAGCCCCTCTCCCTCTTCTTTCATTCACGGTGGCTGCTGAGAAACTGCAGTTTTGTCCTCAGCACATGCGAGTCTGTGGGCTGTGGTTTCCCAGGGATAAGAGGCAGACATTTGGATATTGATACTGACATGTTCACAGAAAGGAGAGAATAAATAAAGCTGTTTCACAGTGTACAACAAATCCAGGCCTGGCATCTGATTTACATGCCCCCGAGCATCGCGCTGGCCCAATCACAGCTCTTTTAACCCTCTCTCAGCTCTCCCAGGAAACTGTTCTGGCGTCAGGGCTGCTTCGTGCATCCATGAGAGCTGCTCTCCTGTGGCAGGGGGAGGGGGAATCTGGCTTAGGAACGGGCTCTGGTGTGAGGAGCCGGAGGACTGGGGTGGGGATGCAGACTCAGGAACACCTGCCAGTCAGCCAGATGCAGAAGCTTCAGTGCTTTGCTCCCACACAAAGCCACGGTGCCAGTGAAGGAGAAATGGCTTCCAGGGATGAAGAAGAAACTTGGACATGAGAAGGTTGGCACATTCTGGCCCAGGGAAGGGCCAGGGCCTGAGTCGGGGGCACAGATGGTGCTGCCTGAGAGCAGGGTGGGGAGACAATGGATGCTGCAGTGGGGACAGAGAGGGACAGCTAGAGCAGACAGAATGCTACCTGCAATGATGGGGTGGAGGGGCTGCTCTGCCAGCAAGGTGTCTCTACCCACATAAACTCGGCTTGTCTGCCACCCAAGGAGCTGTCTCCAAATGTGACAACTTGACTCACCGCTGGCTAAGTGTACCCCCTAAATATGAGCATAAAATCCGCCTCTCTTGAAGGTACTCTAGGGGGCATCCTGTTCATCACCAAGTCCTTCTTGGGAAGGCATGGGGTATGCCACCTTGAATCCTGCACCCATGATGTTAGAGCACATTCTTTTTTCTTTTTTTTTGTTTTTTTTCCCTTTATTTTATTTTATTTTTTTTAAAGTTGTAGATTTACAATTTTTTGTGCTTTGGTTTCAATTATACAATGATCAGATACCCATCCCTCCACCAGTGCCCATTTTCCACCACCATGGATAATATCCCTCCCACCCCCATCCCCCCATCTCCCCTGTCTCTGTGGCAGGGCAATCCCCTGTGTTCTCTCTCTCCTTTTGGGTGTTGTGGTCTGCAAAAGAGGCATTGAGTGGCAAACATGTTCAGTCCATAGTCTACTTTCTACATGCATCTCCCCTCCTGGGAGGATCCTCCAAACATCCTTTATTTGGTGCTCCCTTCTCTATCTGAACAGCCCTTTCCTCTAGGATACCCGGCTGGCCTCTAAGTTATGGAGTAATCCTCCTGGTGCTGATCTCAGCTATTCTTGGGTATTAATCTCATACTTTGTTACTTTATATCCCCCAGATGAATGCAATCTTTCTATGTCTATCCCTCTCTTTCTGACTCATTTCGCTTAGCATGATACTTTCCATATTGTACCACTTGTATGTAAATTTCATGACTTCATCTTTTCTAAGAGCTACATAGTACTCCATTGTGTAGATGTACCAAAGTTTCTTTAACCAGTCATCTGTTCTTGGGCATTCAGGTTTCTTCCAGTTTCTGGCTATTGTAAAGAGTGCTGCAATGAACAAACAAGTGCAGATGTCACTTCGACTATAAATTTTTGCCTCTCTGGGATATATTCCCAGGAGTGGTATTGCTGGGTCAAATGGGAGCTCAATTTCTAATTTTTTGAGAATCGTCCATACTGTTTTCCAGAAGGGCTGAACCAGTGGACATTCCCACCAACAGTGAAGGAGTGTCCCTTTCTCGCCACATCCACGCCAGCATCGGTTGCTTTTGTTCTTTTGAATGTGGGCCAGTCTCTGAGGTGTGAGATGGTATCTCATTGTGGTTTTGATCTGCATCTCCCTGATGATTAATGATGTAGAGCATTTTCTCATGTGCTTTTTTGCCATTCGGATTTCTTCTTTGAGAAAGTTTCTGTTCATTTCATTGCCCCATTTTTGGATGGGGTTGGATGTTTTCTTCTTGTGGAGTTTAACCAGTATTTTGTATATCCTGGATATCAACCCCTTGTCAGATGTGTATTCGGTGAATATCCTTTCCCATTCTGTAGACTGTCTTTGTATTTTGGTCACTGTTTCTTTGGAGGTGCAGAAGCTTCTTAGTTTAAGATAGTCCCATTTATCTATCTCTGTTTTCACTTGCTCGGCCAGAGGCGTGGCATCTTTGAAGATACCATTAGCTTCAATGTCATGGAGGGTTTTGCCAACTTTATCTTCAATGTACCTTATGGTTTCTGGTCTGATGTTGAGGTCTTTAATCCATTTTGATCTTACTTTTGTACATGGTGTTAGGCAGAGTTCTGAGCCTATTTTTTTGCATGTAGCCGTCCAGTGATGCCAACACAATTTATTAAAGAGGCTTTCCTTACTCCACTTCACATTACTTGCACCTTTATCAAAGATTAGATGAGCATATGATTGAGGAGAGATGTCAGTGTATTCAACCCTGTTCCATTGGTCTGCAGTTCTGCCTTTGTTCCAGTACCATGCTGTTTTAATTATTACTGCTTTGTAGTACAGTTTGAAGTTCGGGAGGTTGATTCCTCCCATTTTCTTTTTCCCAAGAATTGCTTTAGCTATTCGTGGGGGCTTATTGTTCCATATAAATTTCAAGAGTGTTTGTAGAGCACATTCTTAAAAACCAAGCAGCAGCAAGCCAGTTCCTCATGGGCTTGCCCTGATTAACACCCGTGAAACAGTGAAGAGTCTGCAGGCAAAGAATCTCTTAGCAAGCCAACAGCCTCATAAATTTGTGGGTTGGTGTGTCAGGGGATACTGTATGTTTAATTTGGGACCAATGTTAGGTTGTTTTGTTTGTTTGTTTGATTTTTTTTTTGCCACACTCAGCAGTGCTGAGGGCTTATTTCTGGCTCTGCTCTCAGGGATCATTCCTGGAGGAGCTTGTGGGAATATATAGGATGCTGGGGATCGAACCCAGGTCAGTTGTTTGCAAGTAAGTGCCCTACCTGCAGTACGATCATGCCAGCCCCTTAATATTAATAAGATGGTGCTAATAGCCATGGCTGGATTGGGGGGGGGCTATGGCTCAGAGGTAGAGTACATGCTGAGCATACAGAATGTCCTGAGTTTGATCCCCAATACTGAGTTCCCCTACCCTGGCACAGCTGGCCCTAGCATTTCTGGGAGTGACCCCTATTAAAAAAAAACACAACACAGTGAGGATGACGGTGCATGTACACGTTAGAATCTGGGCAGTGAAGAGCCAGTCACAGGACAGGCTTGCAATGGTGGCAGAACACAAATATGAAATCTTAGCCCTCTGAGAACTGAAAAAACATCAGGTCCAACACCTCAGATGAAAACTCATTTAGTTGGAGCAATGATATCTCAGGTATGGGCCAGACATGAGGCTCAAGAGAAACAGAAAGGAGGGACAGGACTAGATGCAGTTGAGGCTGGAGGGAAGCTGGCACAAACCTCTCTTGCTGCACTGCACCCACAGAAATCTGCATTCCACAAGGTCTCTAGGGGAGTCTGGGTGCCTGAGAGAGGCACCTCCCACACAAAGCCACAGTGCCTCTTCTAAATGAACCTATTTCCCAACCCCACCCAGCCCCCTGCCTTGTACCACCACCCACCCCCCTACACACACACACACACACACACACACACACACACACACACACACACACACACTGTCACTGTCACTGTCCTCCCGTTGCTCATCAATTTTCTCGAGTGGGCCCAGTAACGTCTGACACACACACACAGCTTGCTAAAATGGAGATGCTGCATCACCAAGGATGGATCCTGCAAGTCTAACAAGTTCCCATGTGAAGCTGATGAAGCCGATGCTGCTGGTCCAGGGACCACACTTCAAAGACCCAGGGTCTGACACTGCTCCTTGGCATGCTGGCAGCAGAATTCCACTGGGACTTTCCAGTAAAGCTTTAAGTGGGGGGGGGGCGACAGTGTCATGAGGAAGACCACCCATATTTAGCTTTTAAGCCCCCCCGGGAGTGCCCTTCCCAGCTGGGTCTTACCTTCTTCAGTATTTCTGTGTTCAGCAGCATGTAAATGTCAATTGTTCGACTTTCTTCTTTCGCAAGCGCACTCAGGTTGCAGTGCATTGTGAGGCAAGGAACACCCCGTTTTTCGCAGTCCTGAGAAGAACAATCAGAGAACTGTTCACCTGCACTAAGAGTAAGGCTGATGGGAGAGCCACTAAATTAGCACAGAAGGTCTGGGAGGGACCTTCTTCTCTGGTGACTATGGCCATTGCAGAGACAGGATATAAGAAGACGCAATTACGCCTTCTCATCACCAGAGGGCAACGGATGAATTTCCTGCCCAGTGGGTACCAGAACTTACTTGCCTTTGACTCAAACTGTGAAGAAAGTTCATGCCCAAACTGGATTTCCTCTGAGAGTAATCATTATTTGTAAAAAGAAAATATTTGGGGGGGGGGGTTGGAGAGCTAGTACAGCAGGAAGTATGCTTGCCTTGTGCATGGGTGACCCAGGTTCAATCCCCGACACCACACCTGCAAGCTCTGCTGGGAATGATACTGGATCACAGAGCCAGGAGTCAGCCCTGAGCACTGCCAGGCATGGCCAAACACCTACCCCCCAAGCCCCCAAAAGAGGGAAAAGTTATTTTGAAAGCCTTATTCTTTTTTTTTTAATGTGGGCGTACTGCTATTTATTCAGCCATTGATTAAGCTGATTGAATTAGGCATGAATTCCACATTACTTTTTTAAAATTCAGAATGTTAATTTTATTTTATTAATTATTATTATTTTATCTCCTCCACCCAGATCCTCCACATTCCAGTAGGCAGGGGTCACACCCACCAACTGGTCCCCCAGTGCCGTGTAATCTCAACGGCCAAGACCCAGAGACTATAAAACCCAGCTCCCGGAAGAGAACAGTGCAGAGTCTCCTGATCCCGCGCCTGGCTGTCCTCACTGGGGCCCCTTGGAAGGGAGCGGGTTGAGTTTCCCTCCCCACCCCGACCAGGGCTCTGGCAGCCGAAGACCTCCAGAACCAGCCACCACCATGCTGAGACCACTCTCCACACGCATGAAGGTACCGGCAGAGGAACAAAGGCATGTGGGTCCCGGGGCTGAGATCTCCAAGCCTGTTCGGATCGGGGCTGAGCATCCTCCACACAGATCCTCCACATTCCAGTAGGCAGGGGTCACACCCACCAACTGGCCCCCCGGTGCCGTGTAATCCCATCAACGGCCAAGACTCAGAGACTATAAAACCCAGCTCCTGAAAGCGCGCGGCCGCAAATGTGGCCATGCGACATCTTATTATCTTTTGCTGTCTGAACATCATTAAACCTTCTGTTTCCAGTTTCTTTTCCTCAATCTCATTTCTGTGATTTTTAACTAATATTCTTGTGTGTAGTGTTACTGTTGAGCACATGGTTATTTTTCATTTCTCTGTACTATTCCAGAATAAGTCAAGTTAGACCACACTTGTTTGCTCATTCTCCTCTTGATGGCTATTTGGATTATTACAAGATTTCATTTATTGTAACATAGTCATGAATATACCTGTTAATGTATTTTGGGGAAAAATTTTTAAAAACCCTCATTTCTCGTGGAGGTCAAACTGAGTCATAAGGGCACAGAGAAACTTTGCTGTACTGGTCTTGTTAGTTTTCCAACATGGGTATACAAGAACCATTATTCTTGATTAGACTCACACTCATGGGAGAAATGTTTTGCTTTGTGCTTGGTGGGTTGCAAAAGTTTCCCCTTTTTCCAGGCACTGGAATTTGGGATGCAAGTTTAACACTTTGTTGGAAACCTCCAGCTGATATATAAGAGTTTTCCACAGCCCTTGTGACTTTATAAGCCAACTGATGAAAACCAGATTTGAGAAAAAAATGCCAAAGAGTGTCAGAATTTCCTTCTGAGGAAGGACCACCAGGGTGAACCCAACATGTAAGCAAATTCTTACCAAGACTTTTCTTCCAGACTTTGTGAAAAAAGCAAATATTGTATGGAAGATGTTCTCCTGTTCTTGAGGGATAACGCAGGGAGTTGGATTTTTCTGGTAAGAACAGTTTCCCTTCTCTTGACTCACCTGAAAATAAAAAGAAATCTGTTAGAGTGTCTGTCCCTGGAATGGATCATGAGCACAGAATCCTTTAGAGAAGAGATGCTAGTGGTAGGATCCAACTTCAGCTATCCTTTCTTGGCCTGTTATCCAGGGGAACAAAAATGCTAGCAGAAGAAGCATCAACAGGTCCAAATAAACAGAAAATGTGGCTCTTATGTCTTTGAGAAATTGATTTATTACTCTCTCTCTCTCTCTCTCTCTCAGCTCTCTCTCTGGCCTTTTTTTGACCACACCATGACTTACTCTTGGCTCTGTGCTCAGGAATTACTCCTGCCGGTGCTCAAGGGATCATATATGCTGCTGGGGATTGAACCTGGACTGGCTGTGTGCAGGATAAGTGCCTTACTTGCTGAACTACCTTTCCAGTGCTGAGTCCTTAGGAAATTCCAATGTGGTATGCAACATGCGGAGGACCTCCAACTAGGAAAAAAGTAAGACTTGAGGAAGTTTGATGTACAAAGTTTTCAAAGTGCATCAAAACCATTTTTTTTTGGTCTGGAAAAATGGGAAAAGGTTCTAGCTTCAATCACTTTGGAACAATCTGAGTCAAGGAACCGGGGCTGGAACCAGGTCTTCTGAGATCCAGCCAGTGCTGTTTAAAGCTGTGTTCCACGGATGCTGTAAAAACCCTTTGGCAGTCTGAAAGAGAGAAGGGGCACGAAGCAGAGCGGTGCTGGGCTTCTGTCTTAGTTCTAGTGAGAGCACAGCATGTAAGTAATATCACAGAACACCAGGGTCCTTTTACACAGATGGACAGTAGGCACACCCCACATGGGACCTGATATGCTCTTGGTGAGTTTATGATTTTGCTCTTAATGTCAACAGCAACACCACAGGCAGAACAATCCAAAACAATGTTACGACTAGTCTTCGATTTTGGCTTAGCAATGTCACTACTTTTGATGCCTGAGTCAAGAAGCTATTGAAAGAATACACACCTCATCATATCAGTTGTAACTGAATACAAAGCACAGAATTATTAATTGGGAACTCATAATTTAGGATCGTGTTTTAAAATTCCATTTACCCCAAGTCACCTGTTTAAACTCATCTCTCTTCTTTTTAATGCTCCTGAGAAAAATACAGTGTTTGAATTTACTCATGAATGTTTCAACTTCATATTCATGGGAGGGAATTTGTTCTTGTCCCAGGTATGGTACTTATTTTAAAATATTGACATGGGGGTCGGAGATAGCATAAAGGGTTGGAGCACATGCCTTGTGTGTGAGGCTATGAGTTTATTTTGTTTTTCTCTTTGGGGGCTACAGATGATGCTCAGGGGTCACTCTTAGCTCTGTACTCAGGAATCACTCCTGGCGGTGCTTGGGGGTATCATAGGGAATACCTGGGATCAAACCTGTGTTGGCTGCATGCAAGACAAATGCCCTTCCCACGTACTATTGTTCCAGCCCCAGAGGCTGTGAGTTTGATCTCTGGCACCACCTGGGTCCCAAAGTACAGTCAGGAGTGGTTCTGGTGGCCCTAAACAAGCCCACCAGAGCTCATGGCAACTCTGCTTTGTGATCATTCTCTGAGACTGCTGAAGGGTTATTACAGCATCCATACAGCACCCCGTTCCTGGGTTTAATCAGCTGTCAGGCCTGGCTGAGTGTTCTCTGCTGAGGCTGCCAGGCATTGCTGAGGCAGCCTCTCCCCACAATCCCCCATAAACGCTTTTACATATGAAACTGCTCATGCAAGCTAATAAGGACAATCTTTCAATAATAAAAAAAACTATTGAAAAAAGGCCTCCAAATTTGTCAGATTAATTTGTTTTATCTTTGATCTGAACATGCAACCCAAGATTTACGATCTATGCCGGCTAATTCATTAGATGGGTTTACTTCCTCAAGTTGACTATTGGAGAGTGTTGGGCTGGGAGTGAGTTCAGGGGTTAGTGCACATGGCAGCATGGGGAGCGCTAGAGCGCAATGCCTTCTGGGATGCATGGCTGCCTTCCCTGACTCCCAGAATTGCCAGGAGTGAGCCCGGGCAATGAGCTAGGAATAGTCTCTGAATCTGTCACAGTTTGTTATCTGTGCTTTTGTGTCCCCTCACTCACCCCCAACCCCTCCAGCAAGAAGAAGGAGAAGGAGAAAGAGGAGAAGAGAGAATTTGGACTTCTCAAGAGTGGAAACAAAAATCAACCTATGATTTCAAAGAACTGTATAATCTGAAATCTTCTGATGGCTTTATTTGAGCTGGAGAATCTGGGCAGACACACCAATGTTACAGGATATCCATCCCCACAGGTTTGGGATGCCTTAATTCCACTCGAGGGAATTAAGGGGCAAAAGGCAATGGGAATTCACATGGGCCTGGCGATCACTACTGCAGTGTAATTGTTTTAAGCTGTGATAAACATTTCAAAGCACATTTTAGAAAGCAAACCATAAAATGGCTATGGAGAGAAGCTCGTGAATGTCACTTGTAAGACCAATGAGAAAAACAACTGCTACGATGTTATGCGAATGGGAATTCATGTCTTGCAGTAACACCGCCACCACATCAAACATGAACTTGAAATGCTCTGCATTGCAAATAAATTAGATGAATTAAAGATGATATGCTCTGAAAAGCTGACTTAAAGCACAGCTTGGTAATGATAAACATAGATCTCAAAAGATCTACGTTTGTAAAAAAATTTGTGAAATGCCTAAGTGGAAAGAGCAACATAAATAGAAATTATTCTTTTATAACTTCAAGTATGCAAGTGATGAGTAAATATTTAAGTAATTATTTATTTTCCTGGGTTTTTTTTGGGGGGCGGGGGAGGAAGGTCTCACAAATGATTCATCAAAAGGGATGCAGAACAAGGGCCATGGATGTAGTTCATGCTGCACAGACCTTGCAGTGCTGGGGAGACCTGCGCCACCCTGGGATGCTGGGGAGCCTTGAAGACTGCCCCCGTGATACTCAAGGGGACCAAAGGGTGTCAGGAACTGGACAAGTCAGTAGTACGCTCAGTAAGCTGCACCCTAAGTGCTGTACTAGCCTCGAGCCCCCTACTTTTATTTATTTTTTAAAACTAAGCTAAAATTTACAATCCCTAAAAATGCAAAGATGTGAAGGGATAGCTTGATGAATTTTGACAACTGGAATCACTCCCATAATCACCATCCTGATGAAGATACAGAATAAGTCATTCACTCTAGAAAATTCTCTCTGACCCCTTTCCAGTCAATTCCCAACCCCCCTGCCTTCAAGACAACCACAGTTCTGATGCTTGTGAGTTTGGTTGAAAAAAAGTTGGTTAGATTCACTTCAGTGGGGATGGCGGGGAGGTGGGTAGTGTGACCTTGGCAGGTTGTCCTTTATTCACCCATGTCCAGCATGCTGCCAAGGAAGACGTGTTCCCTCGGAGCATGAGTGCAGTCAGTTCTCTCTCGGGAGCCAGAGGCCTCTGGGGTGCACTCAAAGGCATTTGCTGAAGGCCCTGGAAAGCGTCCTTCTGCCTCCCCTGGCCAACATAGCCCCTGATGAGCCAAAGGGGAGGGGGTCACCCAAACCCTGCTAAGCTGCTTTAGAGAAAGAGGCCCTCTGCCTCTTGCGGGATGCATAATCCCTCATTAAATTCAGGGCTGGGGCTGAGTGCTTCCTGGCTCTGCAACTGGGCACCTCTAGGTTCTAGGCTGGCAGAGGAAATGCAGGAGTGGGGTTGCGGGGTGGGGTTCCAGGCCAGCCCCCACAAGGTGGCAGCACAGGAGACTGGGAGGCAGCAAGGGCTCGGACAAAGGCTCAGGACAGGGGGCTGTGAGCGGGAGCGGGAGGGTGATGATGCTGCGATGTGATCCAGGCTGACATCTGATCCTCCCGGGCAAGATTCGGAGAGGGAACCTGAGACCGAGTCTGCGGTGAAGGGAGATCTCGTCTGCTAGTGCTGCCCACTGAGGTCTCAAGGAATTGCTTTGGCGGGGGAACATAATCCGGGAGGCGCGGGGTGGCCCTCTTCCTGAGAAAGACTCAAGGTTGCTTGGTGCCAGCACGTCTAGTTCAGATGGGCTCATGTCCGGTGGCTCACCCACCCCCTGAATTGGTCAGTGGGGCAGGGGTTCTCAGTGCAGGTTGGGTAGATCTGTATGCCTGGGCAGTGGCCAGCAGCCTTGGCCCTCACCCCGAGCTAGGCTGAGCACAGTATGGTTCCACTCACTTGGTTCCCTGATGAACTCATGGTCCCATGTAGGTCCAGTGCTAGAGCAATACCCATTTTACAGATGGAGAAACTGGGTAGCCAGGGGAGGTGAATGACTGGCAGAGACCCTGATGCTGGTTGGCAGCAGAACCAGGCTGGAACTCAGGCCAGCCAGTCCCAGAGCCAGCAGTATTTCCTACCTCTTGGGGACAGAGATTGGGGCAGAAGTCATCAAGGGGTGCAGGTCGGAGGGAACCAGCCCTTCCTGTTCTCATCCCAGCAAAGTAAAGGAACCCCTATATTAGAAGCCCAGCAACCCAGAGTTCTCCTTCTGGGCTCTGTGCTCAGAGACCGTATACAGATCTGGGGAATCAAACCTGGATCAGCCACGTGCAAGGCAAGTGCCCTACTTGCTGTACTATCTCAGACTTCTTCCTGACCTAGTTTCTGTCACTGTGGATTAAATAAGGCCCCCTGCACCCTCCCGCCCCCAAATCTTGGGAGATAACGTGCCTGGTCTGTGATGTCTCAGGCTGGAAGGGTAACAGAGCACCCTGGAATGTTATTTCTGGGAGGCTGCTCTAGGATCATGTGGTCCTGTGGCCTCGGCTGACAGATAAGGACTCTGGGGCTCTGCACTCTAGTGATTCTGAGGTCACATGACAGGTGGTTGGCAGCAATTGGTGCCCAGGGCAGGAATGCTAAGGAGGATGTTCAGCCGTGAGCAAGCTATGAGTGCCACAGCACATGCAGTTCCGGTCCCAAGAGGGTCTTGTTCCCCATCCCCAGTGTTATACATTTTCATCAGCAAGTCAAGGGGTCACTTACTTTC